ATGGGGGAGACGGGTGAGCTCAGTTTGGGACCCGCTGAGTTGAAAGTCCTCAATGAATGCGTGAGTCCAGCAAGAAGATAGCCGTCTCCCTCACCACCACCACCCCTCTGGGCCTTACCATGTGCTAAGCACTGTGTTGAATGACTTGCATACATTCTGATTTAATTCTCAGAAATGTACATGGTAGGGGCCATGATCAGCCTTATTGGAAAGACGAGTACACTGAGGCTCAGAGAAGTAAGTAACGTGCCCAGTTTGCCCAGGGTGATGTAGATTTTAGGCTCATTGTCACACACACGGTAGTTAAACCATGAAAATGTATGAGACTGCCTAACAATAAACAAGCTTTTGTTGGAAAGAACAGTGAGGATGAAGGAAAGAACTCGGGAGAGTTGCAATAGTTACGGAGTGAGCTCAGGGAAAGGAATAGCCTCTGAACACCAAGAAGTGACGAGAGAAATAAAGGAGCAGAAGACATTTCAAAAAGACTGTTTGATGTCAATTGCAGCAGAGGCATTTAGCACAATAGGGTCTGAGAGTATTCGCTGCTTTTGCCAATGTGCAGGCCACTGGAGTCGAGCTAGGGCTGGCTCAGGGGTGGATGCAAAGCCAATGTCCAGCGGCCTGAAGAGCAGGGAGCCCTAGAGACCTACTCACTAGGTCCCAAGTGAATAGGGTGGGTTTCCCAGCCTGTTACAGCATGGCACCAGTACCAGCTCACGACGTGGAAATACACTTATAGTACTCTATCATTTGTTGCAAAATATCAAAATAAGTCAATTGGGCTATTGGAAGGAGACAGGGGTGGGTGGAGGGCATTTACCCATGGACCGGGGGGGACACGTTCCTAAAATTCCAAGAACCACCAGTGGAAGGGCAAGCAGAGTTTCTTTCCAACTCCGGCATACAGTCTCCTAAAACCATGAAAACACGGCAACCCTGCAGAACGCACCTCGCATTTCGCCCTTCTCAGCCATGAGGGGAAGTGCGTTTCTACCCCCACAGCAAGTTACGCGTATGAGGGTGGTAGTGTCTTGTTGCTGTGGCATGAAACAATGACCCGTCGCATTCGATCATCGTGTCAGCTTATTCACATGTCAGAGAGCAATTCCTGGCTTCCACCTCAGAGGGTAACCTGCTTAGGGTGGGGGACACTCTGCTAGCCAGATGGGGCAGAGTCCTGCCAGCTCCCAGTGCCAGGGAAACCCTGGGCAGTAATCGATACCAAACCTGCCTGCAGAGAGGACCACCCAAAGGCCCGTGGCTGGGAACCAAACCTCCCTCCTACCTTGGTCTGATCTCTTGGCAAGTTTCCTTCCTAGTCCCAGCTTTGTTCCCACTTACTTGGGGAGCAATCCAAAAACAGGAGTTATTTTGAAGAGGGTGAGGCAGCAAGAAGGGTTGGACAGCCAATGGCAGATGCTGAAAGGGTCATGGGGAAGAGGGTTCTAGTTAGTGACATCACCCAGGGCTTCCAATTTCTAATAAATACTGATTGATGGATGGATGGAAGTGGAGGCAAATGCCAAGGAAAGATCTCCACGTGTTCAGAGACTTTGAGTTAGAAATGCTCTCCTTCCAACTCTTCCCAAAAGGAAGTCGTTCGGGGAACACAACGCAGTGATTCAGGAACTAAACAGGCCGCGGTGCGGCGGCCTTCTGAGCTCTCCAGGCCAGGCCTGCCGGGAGAGGAGCCTGTGGCCCAGACGTGGCGTCTTCCCTCCTGACGTCTTTCCGCCACATCATCCTTCTTGAATTCTGAAAGTGCTTGGCCCTCCCGGTCCCTGCAGCTGGAGCAGGGCCTGGGACGTGGGTCGAGGGAAAGGCCAGTGGCAGGGACTCCCCGCAGCGGGAGAAGGAGTCCCAGCCGGCCGCCTCTGAGTACATCCGCTGGAGCCCGGGCGCCGCGGGCTCCAGGTTCGGAGAGAGCCTTCGCCATCCCGGCCCGCGGGGCCAGCTGGCAGCGCACCGCCTTTCGCCCTTTACCGCGCGAATGCGCCCTCCGCCCAGTCTTAAATCTCCCTATTCTTAGGGTCATCCGACGGTTTTTGAATTACAATCCAAGAATCTCAACAAATTACAAATGTGGTGTGGAAACATAACCCACTCGTAAGTGTTAATTTTTAAAATGGAAAGGAAAAAATACTGCAGACAAATCCTGCAGGGTCTACGCCTGGAGTTTCTGCTTTCTTGGGACCCTCCCCCCGGCGCATCCGCCGCTCCCCCGCCTCACCGATTCCCTGCTGTGACCTCCCGCGGGAGGCCCGGGCTTGTCCCTGCAGCTGAGGCCTAAGGGACAGCCTGGGAAGGAGATGCCTTCTGGAAGGGCGACGACCCCTGAAGCACTTCGGCGCTCCGGGGTCCTGCCGCCTGCGGGCACCCTGTCCCACCGCGGGCGCTTCTCTTCCCCTGAGCGCCCGCGGGGCGTGCTCCCAGGTCCCAGCTTCCGCGCTTGGACAACACACTGGCCCTCGCCCCCGCAGTCCTCAAAGTCCACCCCGGTTCCTGCAGGGGGCTCGGGGACCCTGGGCTCCCCGGCGGCGGCGGGCGCGGTGCTGCCCGGGCTGGACTAGCCCCATACAGCCGCTGGTATTTGAGCACTGGGTCCGAGAGAAATTTGGGGAAGACATTGTGCACAGACATTTATAGATCACATGTCGACTTGTACCTATCTGGCCGACAGTTGTTAGGCAGCTGCGTCTGGCGTTTTTGTGGAAACTAGCATCCCAGGCGGCGATGGTGAGACCAGGTTGCATGGCTGCAAGGACAAGTGGGTCCCTTTGGAGAACGCGGCGCAGTCTAAGTGGCGACGTCTGTCTGGTTCTGCTTGCGGCTCTGACCTGCGTTCCCTAGCGCTACCTCTCGGTCACCTGCCTGGCTGACGGCACCCCCAGAACGGGGCCATCCCCCCGCAACCGGGAGGTCGCTGGGTCTGCGGGGGGAGCAGCGCGCTCGGGGTGCCAGAAGCCCGGCTCCTTACCCAGACCTTTGTCACGAAGGGCGCTGGGTCGGCGTTAGGGACGAAAAGAAACGTTACAACACAACTGTGTGCAGAAGGTGGGAGAGGCTAGGGCCTGCTGGGCTTCTGGGGACAGACCCAGCGGCGCCCCGTGCGCGCGAGGGGAGAGGGAAGGGGCCCCCTCGGCCTCCCACCGTGGGCTCACCCAGCGGGACGCCCAGCGAAAACCTCTCCGCAGGATCAAGTCGAGCCCCTTGGAGCCGGTGGCACTGACACGAGTGACGCTGGACGTGGGCTCCCTGGTGGAAATCCCCTCGGAAGCGCCCCCCGCCCGACGTTCCCACTCGGCGCGGGCCCACCCGGCGCGCATCCGCCTCCCACCGGCAACCCGCCCGCGGGCCCCGCGGCGGACAGATGTTGACTGCTCGGAGCCCGACCGCTGGGGAGACGCGGGGACCGGCGCGGATCGGCTCACCCGGCGGCGCTGGCGGGGCTCTGGGCTCCCGATTAGGGGTGCGAGCAAGCGGGGGCGGGGGGGGGGGCGAGGGGATGGAAAGAGGAGGGGGGAGCGGGTGGACTAATGATGAAAAAGTCTCCTCCATCCCGGCTCCTTAATTAAATGCATGGAAAGAACCGAGGCGAGCACATCTGGTTTCAATCTGCAGCCCTTTGATGGCATCAAATGTTCTTTTCCCAGATCGGGGCTGGAAGCTCTGGGCTCACTATGGCCGTTTGGAGCCCAGAGACCATTTCCACACACTCGGACCCTTCTCTCTCCCCAGCAGAGCCTCCCGGCTACAGGGGAGAGAGAGAGAGAGAAAAGTCTAGTGATCAAGGGGGCGAGGGGTATGTATGCATGCGTGTGTACACGTTTAAAGAACATAAAACGCCACCAATAAGCACTTAATATTTTACTTACTCGTCATATAGTAACTCATTTCTAATGAGACTATTAAAGCTGTTACCAAATTCCAGCAGGTCATGAAAAAATCGCTCAGCACCTCCCCGTCCTCTCTCAAGTCAGGGCTCAGCAGACAGACGACAGAGCATTATCCGTAGACTTAGGTGGGGGCCCCGCTCCCCTCCCCCACGCCCCGCGGCGCCCGGAGGGACCCCGCGCCGCGCAGGAGCCTCGCCCCCGCGCGCCCCGCCTGCTCCGCATCTGGGCACCGCGACCCTCACGGCTCATCGTCCCCCGCCTGGGGAAGCGACGTGGGCCGCACCAAAAAGGTTACGAAATTGGTCGGATTGGGGTTTATGGGGCGGGGTGGGGGAAGAGGAGCAATTAGGATAGACTCCTCGAGTCCTCTCCTCCAGCTAAATAAATACGCGAGTTTCCTAGCGCCGCAGCCGGGGGATTCCTAATGCGCGCGGAGAGACTCCAACCCATTGGACGCCTTCTAGATCGCCCCCCGTCTGCCCCCGTCGGCGGGACGAGCGTGGGAGAGACCCATTAGGGTCGCTCCTGTTACTTTATTGCATTGTTTAACGGGCTGTCTCTGCTGGGCCAAACGCAGCCTTCCTCTGCCTCGCTCTCTCCCGCGCTCCCTCCCAGACGCTCCTCCGCCCCCCGCCCCAGAAACTGTTCGACCAGCAGGAAACGTTGGAAAAAAAGAAAAATGTAAAGACAGAGGGAGAAGAAAATTTGATTGAGATAGTTGTGGGTTTCCTCCAACAAGTTTCCCCCCCGCAGCTGTTATCAAAACACGCAGATGAGATTTCCAACGGGATCTTCAGCAAATCTGGAGGAGTTAACGCCGAGGCAAAATAATCAGCCCGTTTGAAGTGACTGTGGGTTTCAGTTTGTCTTTTCCCCCCGCGATACTGTGGCAGGGGAACGGTAATTAGCCCTTCACTTAAAAAATCCGAAGGGGCTCTCTGCTCTCCCTCCCTCCCTCCTGCTCCCTCCTCCCTCCCTCCCTCTCGGGCTCCCTCCCTCCCTCCCTCTCTCTCTCCCTCTCTCTCCCTCTCTCTCCCTTTCTCCCTTGCTCAGATGTTGGCAAAGGGGGTTTTCTTAATCAGACTGTTCTTTGGGCCGAGGGAAAGGAGGAAGAAGGAGACTGTGATGGAGAAAGGGGGTCTGTAAAACGTCAGGCACCGCACAAAGGCTTTGCCACGTAATTACAGACTCCTATTAAGTCGAGCGCTGCCCTCCCAGGGGTCTCCAATTTTCTTGTATTCCCTACAAAGCCTCCTCTGCATGCCAGTTTGTGCCTTTTGAAGTGCCAGAGAGCTTCTTGATCCAACTGAGAAGGAAAAGGAGTCTCGCAAGAAGAGGGGGAGAGAGAGAAGGGGAAGGGGGGAAACCCACCGCCGCCACCCTCCTCCGGACTCCTGAAGCCCTTTTTTTTCCTCCTCACGAAAAGTAAAGTGAGAATCCTGCTCTCCAGTACATCTGCAAGACATCACCCTCTCCTCCTGAAACCTTAGTCACTCCTGAGAATCCGCAGGAGTGCGGAGAGGGGGAACACGTTTTCTTGAAGATGTTTTAAAGCTGGAACAAGCCTTCTTCTGTTGGTGCTTGAACTCTTGCCTGGGAATAACTTTTTTAACCTTAAAAAAACCCACTTTGATTCTTCTCTCCCACCCCTTCTTCTCTCTTCTTGTGTTTGCCTAACTCCCCCGCCCCGCTGGCCTCCCCTTCTCCTCGCTCCCCCTTACTATTATTTTTAGTGTGTGCGTGTGGACGCTTTTGGAGAGGTGGAAGGAATTTTTTTCTCCTGACTCCAACGTAGGGTGACTTTCTGATTTGATTTTTTGGTGTGGATTATCTCTTTGGATCGCGCCGGACTTGGCCTCAGGAAAGCAGCCCGGGCTGTCAAAGGCTGGTGGTGGCGGAGAACGCTCTGCTCTGCGCGAGGGTCCCCCGCCCTTCCCACTATTTTTGTGTGTGTGCTTCCCCTCCTTCCTCTCTCTCTCTCTCTCTCTCTCCCTCTCCCTCTCTCTCTCTCTCTCTCTCCACTCCCCCCTCTCTCTTCCCCACTCGACTCCTCTCCCCCCTCGCGCCCACAGCGTTTGGTGTTGATTCGAGCGGGAAGAGGGGGGTGGGTGGGATCGGAGGGGGAGACCATGACCTCCAGCTACGGGCACGTTCTGGAGCGGCAACCGGCGCTGGGCAGCCGCTTGGACAGCCCCGGCAACCTCGACACTCTGCAGGCGAAAAAGAACTTCTCCGTCAGTCACCTGCTAGACCTGGAGGAAGCCGGGGACATGGTGGCGGCGCAGGCGGACGAGAGCGTGGGCGAGGCGGGCCGGAGCCTGCTGGAGTCGCCGGGACTCACCAGCGGCAGCGACACCCCGCAGCAGGACAGTGAGTGAGGGGCGCGTGCCCCGGGGCTGCGCGTCCGGGACCGAGGGTGGGGCCTTGGCCGGGCCGCCGGCGCCCGCCCGGGGCCACGGGGAGAAAGCAGGGGACGCGGGGAGGTGGCGGCAGTGGCCGGAAGAAGGGCCGGCCACGGACGGGAAGGGGGACGCGAGAAGGAGGGCTCCGCCGAGGGCGTCGCCGGCCGACTCTGGAGGGAGGCTCCGGGCCCCGCGGTCCGGGTCGGGGACGCCGCCCGCCGCGGACCACCGCCGAAGCCGCCGGGGCTGCCCCTCAGTCCCGGGCGGGCGCAGCGGCCGGCTCTCCCCGCATGGAGGCGGCAGGGCTGGGGAGGAGGGTGAGAGGCTGCAGACTCGAGGAGCCCGCCCGGACTGGGCAGGCAGCGGGTTCAAGACGCTGAGTCGGGGCGGCGTGTGTGGGTTCGGGGACGGCAGGGACAGAGGCGGCGAAGGGCGCCGCGCACTGGAAGCGGGACCGACGCGGCTCCGGTGGCCCGGGGCGCCCGGGCGCCCGAGGCCTGGCGTGCGGGACGGGCTTCGCGGCAGCGCCGAGCCAGCCTCGCGAGCCGCCCTCCGCCCCCTGCTGTTGCCTCCACCTGCGAATGGGCGGGAGACCCTGGCCGAGCCAAAGGCCCGAGTCGCTCCTGTGGGGTGAAACCAGCTCCCGACCCGCATGAACCCGCACCGTAAAGACGCGCAGGGCAAGTGTGGGCCCCACTGTCGAGCCCGGTGTCACTTTGGAGGGGCTCTCCCTGGTGGCCCCCGAACCTCCAGAAAACTCCACCCACGGTCTCCCTTTGCGGTCCTCCCGGACTAGTAGCGGGCCCTCGGGGATGTCGCCCAGAGTCAGTAGCCATGCTTTTAAACCACGACTCCAAAGGGACCCACACTCCCCCAGTCTGTAACAGACCTGTCACCTAGCCGCCCCAGGGGCCACGGCAGGGGTGCGCAGTCCCTCCTTGGAATCTGCAAGAGCCTGAACTTGGCCAGAACTTTTAAAATGAGGCTGATCTCTTTTCCTGTCACTATTCGCCAAATGCTCTTTTGTCTTCAAATTTGGAACTTGTGGAATCAGGTATTCTGTGATTAAAACAAAACAAAACAAAACAAAACACACCTGACGTCAGACTCCCGGAAAACAGACAGAGCAACCGGACTCGGACGCGGCCGGGATCGAGGCGGAAAGGCCTGGGCTGGGTGGTGGGAGCCGGGGCTGCCCCGGAGCCGACAGCGGCGAGAACCCTCTCGCCCCCTTCCTGCGTCCAGGCCTGGGCTCCCCTCGGTGTGTTGCAACCAGAATCAAACGGGGACCTACTGACCCTACCTGCGTTCAGAGGCAGAGGGCGATGGGGAGTCTGGCCCGGCCTGTCGCTCTGAGGAAGTAGGGCCCGGCAGCCACACCCGGCAGGGGCTTTCTCGCGGCGAGAACGCGGGCTGCGCGCGCTGGCGGCACTGTGTGCGCGGACACTTTTAGCTCCAAGAAAATGCACTGCAAAATAGTATCGTGGCTTTTTAAAGGTTTTGCTAGGGAGAACGCAAACGTACGAAGAGCAGGGAGAATAGTACTCCCCATTGCCATGTGCCTGCTGCCCAGCTCCACCAGTTCTGCGCACTCTGCCCTTGGGTCCCCACGGCGAATGATCGGTTGTGAGGCACATCACAGTCCTGAGCCCCGGAGGCTGGACCCACAGCAGAAAACAGCCGTAAAGAAACTGCTCCGTAGAAGAGCTGGGTGGGACAGGCGAGACCAGCCAGCTCCGAGAGCTCACAGAGGGCACGGAAAAGCAGGCCCAAGGCCCAGGGCGTCAGCATGCTCAGGGACCAGGCTGGCTGTGGTGGGCGCGGGGTGCCACAGGGCTGAGGAGACACTGGACATTCCTCTGGTTCGGCTCCCAGTGGGCGCCACCAGAAGGGAGCCCGGGCTGGGGGTGGCCTTCTGGGGGGTGCTGACTGAGCCAGCATGGGCAGAGGGGGCTGGCTGGGGAGTGCTCTAAAGCCAAGGCAGAGGCAGGCACGCCTGTGGTCTCAGGAGGCAGCCCGGGGAAAGCTCCTGAGACGCAGCCCTGGCGTAGCCCAGGCTTCGCTGTGCATGTGGCATCTGCCTGCGGCGAGGCGCTCGAGGACATGCAAAGGGCAGCAGCGGGTAGAGTTGGGGACAGGGAAAGGGATAAGACCCTCGAGAACATGCCAGTTTTATCCCTGAGCACATCTCAGAGTTTCAAGGAGTAACAAGGCCTAGTGGGGAGTAGACCCCGGCAAGGAAAGGGGGGCTCAGAGGCTGCTGAGGAAGGATGGTCAACAGTTATGGAAGGAGGTCGCAGGATGCAGAGCTAGGTGGTGGGGACAAAGTGACCATCAGCAGGGGCTGGGGAAGTAGCCGAGAAAGCACACAAACATATACACAGAGACGGCAAGGGGCCTATTCTCACAAATAGTTGTTGCTTTTAGAAACAAGGTTCCCTCCGCCTCCTCCTCCCCCATCCCTGGAACGGAGAACAGGAGGGTCTGGTAAGTTGCAGAATAGCAAATGTCCAGGAGAACCTTTGTCCTTGGTCCTTGTCTTCCACCAGCAGTTGCCCAGGGGCCAGGGCAACTGGAAGCTGTGGTGGGCTACTTGGAAGCCAAGACTGGCGGGGCCTGCCGTCTGCTGGGGACACTGAATCAGAGAAGAAAGGACTCTCCCGGCAGAGGAGGAGAGCTGGGCTCCCAGCCCGCCAGGGGCAGAGCCCCGCAGAGTCAGGCGCTCCTGCCCCTCGCAGCCTGCTGGGCGTCCCCGCCAGGGTGGGGAATGGAGAGAATCTCTTTTGGAGAGATGGGGAACCTTCTGAGACGACTTTTACTCTCCCAACTATGTGGATACGTGTCCTTCCTAATTTTTCTTTTGGGCTGAAATTAGTTAAAACAGACTCCATTTACACTTGCAATTTTAAGTCAGTCGTGCTGCCGATTTTTCCGATCACAACCTGGGTCAACCTTGGCAAAGAAAAGCCGTGTATCCTGTCCCAGGTGAGGGCTTCCCGCTGATCTCCCACAGCCCCCCGCCCCAGAAATTCCGTTTCCCGAGACGGCTGAGATTCATTCCACTTCTCTGTAGAACGACTTCTTTCCTGTGTACTGATTCTCCCACCCCGTAAATTTCTCGAACTTCTAGGTTCAACAACCTTAAGGGTTTAAAGAAGCGGTTCTTTAACACTGTCAGGAATGCTAGTTGGGGAGTGTGGAGTGTGGGGGGGGAGGGTGTTGGGTGGGGGCAGTTGTCGGGCAGAGGGAAGAGGAACAGGTCATAAACCAGGCAGACCTGCTCCAAGAAGGACGGTGCGTCCCGCTGTCATTTCTTAATCTGAACTTCTGCAAACTCTTAAAAAAAAAAAAAAAGCCTGCCTTCCACGTTCCCAGCCTCTAAATTAGTGAAACCAGATTGTCCTAATAAGACCTTTTGTTGGAAACACATGTAGTCATAAAAAGGTAGACGGAAAGTCAATTAGACACGCGCGCGCACGCACACACTCACAGGCCGCGCTAAGTGCGCACCGGGCGCAGCTGCGGCCGGCAGGGACGGGATGCAAACTCGGCCCAGAGGCCCAGGAAACCGACCTGCCACAAAGGCAGAGGTGTAAACTGGGCGCAAAGGAATTGCCCGCCAATGCCTCCGCCAGGCACCCAGGCCCACGTTCACTTACTGCTCCTAGAGCCATAGACACCCGGGGGATCGGGGACATTCTCTGGGCGCTCCCCAGTTGGAATTCGGGTCAGAATATCAATTTCCCTGGGGTTTCAGCATTTGCAACACTTACGGCGCCAGAAATTTTCTTATGAAGCACCACCCCCGGAACCTGGAGCCGGTGCCGGCACCCTGAATTTGGGCCTTCGTTATCTCGATTCAAGGGTGGGGGGTCAAGAAAATATATTGTTCTGACGGTAGCCTGGCGAGAGGATCCCTTTAGAGGAGGCAGGGAAATCCAGGATGAAGGAGGGTCACTGAGCCCCCGAGGTCCAAAATGAAGCTCAGAGAAGAGATGGTGAACCCTGTTTCTCTTACATGCCGGGGCAAGGACTGGACGGCCTCCATCTCTTAATCAATGTCGGAGGAACTGACAGTCTAGTGCTTCCCACGGCTCCGGGGCCCAGGGCCACTTGGAGTTCCAAGTGTGAGGAAGGCGGGCCTGTGACGCCCGCGGCCGCAGGCCCCAGGCTGCCGTACTCCCGGCACCAGACCCCCCAACTCTAAAAGACGGTCACCGCCGCCGCCTTCATTCCCCCGCGGAGGCCGGGCCCAGGGCTCTGGAGCGCCTCTCCCGTGGCTTAGACGGCGCCCGAAGCCGGCACCGCGGTCCCGCGACCTCAGCCTTCCCGGCATGCTCAGGTCAGAGCCCAGCGGCGTCAGGCGGGCAGCGGTGGGTCACACACGGGTCCCTGCCGTTTCTTCATCTTCCCAGGGCCTCATTTTAGATTTTACAACCGCAGTGAATAAATCATCTCCAAACCAACAAGATGTCACCCACCCACCCTCCCCCTCCCCGCGCGAAACTCCCCCCGGCAACTTCAGAGCCGGCGCTACCTTCCTACCCCACTGGCTCCGAACCGAGTTTTGAACGTAGTTCTCCGCCAGCGGCCACTTCCTTGTTCGCATTTAAGTGGCATCAGTTGATTTTCAACCAGGATTCCTAGACCAATTTGATTGCTACTTTAAAAAACGCGTTACTCTTACAATTCTTCCCCTCCTTCAGCACGCCACCAGAGCAGACCCCCAGCTCCCAGGGAACCTCCGCCGCAGAGGCGCGCGAGCCGCGGGCACCGCGACGCTGCAAGTCGGGGCGCGCGCGGCGACCCGCGCCTGCCTCCCGCGCCTGGCAGTACGGTTCGCAAAATACGCATTTCTTTTTTACCCTTTCGGAGAGAGGGAGAGAGCAAAAGCCTTAGGAGGTACAACGTTTAGAAACCCAGGGAATCTTCGTAGAGAAGGAGATAAGCCTTGCTTTGTGCTTGTTT